CACGCTGGCTGCCGGCCACACACGGTAGCCCATGGCAACCCACTGCCACAGGGGCTGCAGCCTACGCCGTCGCCTCACGGCAACCCAGCTCCAGGTTGAGCTGTTGTTCAGCATCTTAGCTGTGGAGGGCAGTGTCACTGGCCCTCATATGTGGGATCCAACCCGGGGCCCTCTGGCATCCCAAGCCAGTTCTTAACCATCGTGCCACTCGGCCGGCCCCCAATGTGACTATATTTGAAGGTAGGACCTTCGAAGTAATTAAAAGAGATCCTAAGAGTGGGATCCTACTCCAGGAGACTGGTGCCCACATAAGAGTGCATGTGCAGAACAAAGTCCGGTGAGGACACAGCGAGATGGCAGCTCTCTGCTAGCCAAGGACAAAGTCCTCACCAGAAAAGGACCTTGCGACACCTTGATCTTGGACTTCAGCCCCCAGAACTGTGAGAAAATAAGTCTCTAGTGTTTAAATCACTATTGTTAAGTTTGATACTCTGTTATGACAGCCTGAGCAGACGATTGTATAACTGTCCTTCGGTATTTAAGCATAATGCTGTAAGGCAGGCAGCAGCGTCACCTGGGGGCCTGTTAAAGCAGGCTGCTGGGCCTCACCCAGAGCATGTCTGGTCTGGGCTGGGTCCAGATTTCACCTAACAAGTTCCAGGGGATGCTGAGGCTGCTGACTCAGAAACACACTTTGAGAACCACTGATAGGGGTTTATGAATAATCCACTTGCACTTTGTGATCCAGTTTATAAAGCACTTTCATACACTGTTTCATGTAAGCCTCCCATGAGGTTATTACTCTTTTTGTTTTGCACATTAGGAACAAAGACAGTGAAATTCAAATAACCTACTCTTATCACAACTAATAGGTAAGTCAAAGACTCCAAATCCTGTATTTCTATTACTAGACCCAATGTCACTATGTAGCTGAATAGTGAGGGATGTGACAGAGACAGAGGACAGAAAGACCAGTCAGTAAGAGCAGCACTAACTGCAGTGATCTGGAATAGAGGGTGTTCAAGGAAGGTTTAGAGAGGGAGGGTGTGACTGCACAACACCAAGGAACCTGGGAAAGCAAGGAGTCATCCCCATGGGGGAGGGAGGAGGGGGGACAGAATGACCCCATTTTAAAGGAAAAGCTTCCAGGTCGCAGCAGCTGGAGCCCTGGAAGCCCCAGCAACTCAGAAGTGCACTTCTCTCCCACCACCATTTCCCCTACACCCCGAGTTGCAGACCTATTTTTTTAGGTAAGAGAAGTATGCAGGTATACACCCATTACTTTCACATTATTCAGAGGGTTGTTATGAGGAACCACTATTGCCAAACCATGACAAATTGGTTCTCACAGCTGCACACTTACAAGCCTCAGCCCCTGCTGGCTTTACCTATGCTGTTTTAACAACTGTAATTTGCAAATGCTCCAAAGAAAATGCTACAGTTAACTTGTCTAGTTCCAAGAGCCACTATTAAGCCATCTTAAATGTTCCAGGTGTTATTAGAGACCTGTCCACACTTACAAACAATTGAAGACTGTTTTTTTTTTTTNAAAAAAAAATCTTAAAAAAAAAAAAATTGAGTAATGACCACGAAGCCCCCTCTTATTTAAAATTCAGGCTTTCAGGAGCTGGCCGAGTGGCTCAGGTGGTGAAGAGCACGAGCTCTGAGCAACAGGGTTGCCAGTTCAATTCCCACATGGGCCAGTGATGTTGTGCCCAAGCTGAGCTGTCAACGGAGCTGGTGAAAGCACATGCTCTTAGCAGCAAGGTTACCAGTTCTACACAGGTAAGAGATGGTGGGCTGTGCCCCACCCCACAGCTAAGATTGAACACAGCACCTTGAGCTGAGCAGCCGCCGAGAGGCTGGATGGCTCAGTATTCAACAAGGTTGCCGATTCAACTCCCGCATGGGATGGTGGACTACAGCCCTCCACCCCCACCCCCACTCACCTCCCCCGAAACTAGATTGAAAGCGGTGACTGACTTAGAGCTGAGATTGTGCCCTCCATAACTAAGATTGAAGGACAACAACTTGACTTGGAGCTGATGGATCCCAGAAAAACACAATGTTCCCCTCCCCAATAAAAAATTTTTTTAAATCTAAAAAAAAAAAAAAAATTAAGGCTTTCAAATTAGAGCTAAAAGGAATTTTATTGGGAATATTTCATTTTCCAAATAAAGAAAGGAAGCCCAGAGAGATTCAGGGGTTTTCCTAAAATCAGTTAGTCAAAAGATTCAACTTCAAGAAAATTTCAAAAGAAAACTCAAACATAAACAATAGTCCTCACACAGAATGTTAGCTACAGAGATCTAGAATGTACAAATACAATTTCAAAGTAACCCCTTGCATTTGTAAAAAGCCTGACAGTCGGCAAAAGCCTCTTTCATGTATTAATTTATAATGAGCATTGATTAAAACATTAGTGATATAGATGTATTAGAGAATTGTACACCTGAAATCTATGTAACTTTGCTAACAATTGTCACCCCAATCAACTTTAATTAAAAAAAACACATTACAGTGAAATGATGACACGCTAACTAGCTTCACATTAAATACTTAATAGATACTGCTGTTGTGCAAAGATCAAGTGTAGATATAGTTTTAAATTAGTGTTTTGTTTTGTTTTTAAAATTGGGTAATTGGGGGAGGGGAACAGACAAGTTGCTGTCCTTTTGTTCTTCAGTCTAGTTGTTGAGGATGTTGCTTCACTGGCCCATGTTGGTATTAGCATTGCACTCTTCCCAGGTGAACCAGATCAGTCACCGGCCTCTGGACGTCCACTCACAGCAGCTCTTGGCAGCTCACACCAGCTGCCGGCCACTCACGCTGGCTGCCGGCCACACACTGTAGCTTATGGCAGCCCGCTGCAACCTATGCCGTCACCGGCGACTCAGCAGCAGCCCAGCTCCAGGTCCAGGTCAAGCTGTTGTTCAGCATCTTAGCTGTAGAGGGCAGTGCCACTGGCCCTCATGTGGGATCCGATCCAGGGCCCTGATGCTCAGAGCTGGCATCCCAAGCCCGCTCTTAACCAATTTGCCACTCGGCCGGCCCATTAAATTAGTGTTTTAAGAGTCAACAAAAAATATTAAACAAAGGACCAGCTACTTTTCTTATTTTCTAAACACTTAAGTGCCTTTAGTATTGTTATTAGATTGTCACAGGTGGTAGGGGATCCTCTTTCCAAGGACCACAGAAACTGAGCCACGTGGATGCACAAAATGACTTGGTCGTTATGTAGGATTCCAATTCTGCACGATGAAGAGTTCTGGAAATGGAGGTGATAGTTACATAATAATTTGAGTGCATTTAATGCCATTGAACTGTATGTACACTTAATGGTTAAGATGGCAAATCATATGATATGTGTGTTCACCACAATTTAAAAAAAAGAGCTTAATTTTTCTTGGTCTCTGGTTTATAATGGAGCCCTTTGTTTCTCAGGCAAAAACAAAAACAAAGAAAAACAGAAAAAAACTGAAGTCAGAGCTCCTTCTTCAACTTCAATGGCCCAATTCACAACCATGGCTGCCATTTCACCAATTAAGTGTCTAGAAAAAGTGTAAATCAAGTTATTCTAATGCTGAATTCAATGCCTAACTTCTCGTAAACTCTAAACTTTAAAGTAACTCAGCACATAGAACTAGACTTTCGTGTATCATCTGGTGTATCATTTATTTTTGCATCTTGGGACTGTGTTAATGAAATGGAAGAAGGTCAAGTTCATTAGATTCCTAAATGCTTAGCATTCAGGCATGCAGAAAATAAAAGTGCTAAATAACCTTTCTGGGACTGGTATTTGTTTTTAGAAGAAACTCTCTATGTCAACATTCTGCTATGGTTTCTCACATATGTGCAAAACACCAGCAATCTTTTATTCGCTGCCAAGACTCCTATTGTCTGCCGACAAAATAATATACTTGGCGTAGCAATATGGCTTTGTTTATTTACAGCTACAAGGGGTTCTCTAAAGCCACACAGGCTGATTCAACACTTTTATCTAAATCAACTCTACACAACTTCCAAGTTCTCTCTCTCATAGAAACAATGCTATAAATGGTGGTTGGATCCCCAGGGATAAGCTACAAAACTTAATTAGCCCAAAACACAGCTAAAACAATATACGGTTACAACTTTTAAGAAGTAAAACAAGGGCCGCCGGGTGGCTCAGTTGGTTAGAGCGAGAGCTCTGAGCAACAGGGTTGCTGGTTCAATTCCCACATGAGCCAGTGAGCTGCGCCCAAGCTGAGCTGCAGCTGAGCTGCCAATGGGCAGCCGGATGGCTCAGCTGGTGAGAGCGCGTGCTCTTAACAATAAGGTTGCTGGTTTGATTCCCACATGGGATGGTGGGCTGCACCGCCCCGCAACTAGATTGAAAGCAGCAACTAGACTTGGAGCTGAGCTTGTGCCTTCCACAACTAAGACTGAATCTAAGACTTGACCTGGAGCTGATGGGTCCTGGAAAAACACAACGTTCTCCTTCTAATTCCCCAACACTATTCCCTTCCCCAATAAAAATCTTAAAANTTATTATATTTAAGTCAAATTTAAATCTCACCGTCATATTTGGCAATTTCATCATCAGTGTCATCTTTCTTGGCTTTGGATAAAACCCACCTGTAATTAAGACAAACCCCAAAATTAAGATCCAAATGATAGTTGACCTGTGAAAAGTAATGTAAATACTAATAAAAGGAGGACCTATTCAGTTCTTCCTAGCCTACTTAACCACTCTACTTTCAACGTTTAAATCTGCCATGTAAGTAGCAATAATATATTGTACTCAACTCAAAAGCCTAAGAAGTGCCAAACACATAAAATAATTCCACTATTTTTTAAGGCTCAAGAGAAAAAAATTTTTCTCAAATAACAAAATGTAGGGTGAAGAGGAGTGAGAAATGGAAGCGAGAACCACATGTTCTAAAAGATGACTTTCCTAAATAGGCATCAATACTGGAGATATAAAAACTAGATATTTCACTATATAAGACGTTATCCTAAAAGGAATCCAGTATTCCATTTTATTTACATGATGTTTGTTTGCCTCTAAGACTTTTTTCCCCTAAGAAACACTTACCCCGACAAAGTTCCTCTGTCAAAGGAATCAGCAAAATACACTTCCCCTGTAGGAATGGGAGCTTTGTAGGTGACCTGTGTTAAACACAAAAATGAACTGAGAATTGACATTTTCAACATTTCTTTCTTAGTAGGATTTATTCTCTTGGTTCCCTTCCCATTATCACAAAAATTTCATGGCTGGCCCTTGAATTCAATCCATATAATTTATCTTTGGCAAGATGTAACAGAGGCGGGGCCGGCCGAGTGGCGCGATGGTTAACAACTGGCTTGGGACGCCAGAGGGCCCCAGTTCGGATCCCACATGTGAGGGCCAGTGACACTGCCCTCTACAGCTAAGATGCTGAACAACA